ACTTTTTAATGATGCCATGCCAGACTCTGTCTATGAAGCAAAGCGAAGTAGCAGAGTTTGGTATTACCAGGCTAACCGCCAAGGCAAGTTCAAAACAAAGCGCGCGCGCTGTAGGCCTACTGTGATTGGTTGATCAGTTACGTTTTCACTCATAAATAAAAAGGAATGACTGATTTTGAAATGTAGTGGAGTTAAAGTAAAAGTCTCCCAAAATTGAAATACTTGAGTAAAGTACAGAAACGCAAAAAAGCTACTTAAGTACAGTAACGAATTACATTTACTTCGTTACTGTCCACCACTGGTTAACATGTTGTTGTTTTTAAAAAAGTACTTGCAGATAATATAATATTACTAAAGTTAAAAGTATACGGTGACAAGGTGTCATAACAAAGACATTTCAAACAATGTCATATTTGCATAAAAAATGTCATAACTGAGCGAATGACACTTAATGACAGTTGTCATAAACATGCATACAACTTCCTTCATTTTCATAACGTGTCATGTCATGGTTATGAAGGTGTCATGTCAGTCTTATGCACACCCCTTCAAGTAAAGTGTTACCATTGGGGGGGAAGACTCTTGAGAGTCTGCAAGGAGATTAAATCAGTCCTAAAGGAAATCAGCCTTGACTGTTCACTGGAAGGACAGATACTAATGCTAAAGCTCAAACTCCAATACTTCGGCCACCTAATGATAAGAAAAGACCCTGATGCTGGGATTGATCGAAGGCAGGAGGAGAAGCGTAAGGCAGAGGATGAGATGGTTAGAAAGTGTCATTGATGAACGAACATGACATTGGGCAGACTCAAGGAGATAGTGGAAGACAGGCAGGAGATAAAATGCACCATAAAGCAATAAAACACACCCTGGACAGAAGATCGCAAAGGAAGAGCACAGGAGATTGTCTTCTCCTTCCTTATCTCTGCATTCCCCCGTCTCCTCCCTTCCTCTCCCCCCGGAGTCAAGTCACCAAGAATGTCTATATATCACATATGATGTTTCTTGTGAATCTATTGTTTTTCATGATTGGTAAAACGTTCTTACTTTCATTGCAGGCATTGGTATTATGAGAAAGATTGAACACTTAGGAGATGTCATGATTCTGCCATCAGGTCTGTGAGTTCTAGTATTTTGGCAGGATCATGACAGACCCATGTTCTGTGTGCAAGCACATGGCCTTGTGTTTTGGTCATGTGCTTGTGTTGTCTCGTCTCGTTACCCCGCCCCCTTGTTATCCTGATTCTGTCATTAGTGTTTCACCCGTGTCACCTGTTATGTTTGATTAGTCTTCCTATTTAATCCCCTTGTGTTTGCTGTCTTGTGTCGGTTCATTGTTATACGTTGATCGTGAGTACCCTGTGTACATCTAGTCATTGTTAGCATCTCTTGAAGTCTTGTTTGTTTTCTTGTTCATTTGTTTCCCAGTTTAGTCTAGTCAGTCTGGTATTCTGTGTTCCATCTGTTTAACCCCCTCATGGGTTTTGTTTTCCTGTTTTTGTCATTAAACCGTGTCTTATTTTATACTGTCTGCGTTTGGGTTCATCTCCGTGTCTCACCGTGACAGAATGAACCGACCAATTCTGAACCCAGCGGACAGTATGTCATCCCCACTAAGACAACAATCAGCTGACCAGGAACTATGGTGGCAGTCAGCTATCAACGACAGCAAGTTGGGCAAGCTTCCTTTCCCTCCCCAGGGAGAGAGGTCCCTGAGAGGATATGCTCAGGCCGTGGAGGCAAAGAGAATTTTTTTACCGGAGAGCCTGGTTAACCGTTACCTCATCGCGGGTCTCAAAGTTCCTCCACCTCTGGCGGAACGGGAGAGGCTGGCCCACCGCCCGTTCCGGGACATGGTGGACTGCTTGGTTCGTCGGGAGTCACAGGGTCCCATGGTGTCGTCACCTCCTGCCTGTCTGCCGGTGATCCCGGAGGATCTGAGGTTAGGCTTCGTGAGGCTTGGAGAACAGACTTGTCCCAGTTCGACTCCCGAGACATCATCGGCTCCGCGAATCAGGAGGAGGAGACCTGCGTCTGCCCAGCCAGAGCCAGTTCACGTCCCGTCTGTCCAGCTAGAGACTGTTCACGCCCCATCTGTCCAGCTAGAGACTGTTCACGCCCCGTCTGCCTTCCTGAGCTGGGACTATCTGGAGCGTCTGGCTCGGATCTTAGAGAGGCCGGTGTTCGGTGTTTCGGAGCTGAACCCAGTGCCCGTTCCAGAGCCCTTAAGGAGGGGGTACTGTCATCCAGAGCCCGCCACGGCAAGCGCTGTTCAAGAGGCCGCCACGGCAAGCACTGTTCCAGAGGCCGCCACGGCAAGCGCTGTTCCAGAGGCCGCCACGGCAAGCGCTGTTCCAGAGGCCGCCACGGCAAGCGGTGTTCCAGAGGCCGCCACGGCAAGCGCTGTTCCAGAGGCCGCCACGGCAAGCGCTGTTCCAGAGGCCGCCACGGCAAGCGCTGTTCCAGAGGCCGCCACGGCAAGCGCTGTTCCAGAGGCCGCCACGGCAAGCGCTGTTCCAGAGGCCGCCACGGCAAGCGCTGTTCCAGAGCCGGTCGCCGTGAGCGCGGCACCCAGTCCTGTCCCGTCACCAACCAAGTTCCCGGTCAGAAGTCCCCGGACTGTCTCCTCGTGTGTCCCTGTCTCTACTGCCCCCGGACTCCCGTTTGTTTCCCCCGTCATGGTTCAACCTAGGACTGTTTCTCCGTCTACTCACACCACTCCACCCATGCCCCGTCCTAAGCCCACACCCTGTAGTTCCAAGATCACCGTCCCGCCCACCCACCCTGGACTCTCGCTCAAAGACCCTGTTGTCCCTCCGCCTCCCCTTCCTTGTTTATTTTTTCTGATGTTTCACCCCAACCCGGTCATTGTTCACGCTTGTATGCCCCTGTTATTATTTGTCATGTTTTGTTGGGTCTGGTCTATGTCTCTGTCAGTCTTGTCCCGCATTTAATGTCTCCTTGGGGAGCGTCTGGTAGCCGCTCTTTAAGGAGGGGGTACTGTCATGATTCTGCCATCAGGTCTGTGAGTTCTAGTATTTTGGCAGGATCATGACAGACCCATGTTCTGTGTGCAAGCACATGGCCTTGTGTTTTGGTCATGTGCTTGTGTTGTCTCGTCTCGTTACCCCGCCCCCTTGTTATCCTGATTCTGTCATTAGTGTTTCACCCGTGTCACCTGTTATGTTTGATTAGTCTTCCTATTTAATCCCCTTGTGTTTGCTGTCTTGTGTCGGTTCATTGTTATACGTTGATCGTGAGTACCCTGTGTACATCTAGTCATTGTTAGCATCTCTTGAAGTCTTGTTTGTTTTCTTGTTCATTTGTTTCCCAGTTTAGTCTAGTCAGTCTGGTATTCTGTGTTCCATCTGTTTTGCTCCCTAATGGGTTTTGTTTTCCTGTTTTTGTCATTAAACCGTGTCTTATTTTATACTGTCTGCGTTTGGGTTCATCTCCGTGTCTCACCGTGACAGGAGAATCCTGTTCTCCTCTTTGGGTGATGTCTCTTCGAGAGATCTGATAATCCTCCCCTCTCCCCCGAGACCAGGTGCGACCCCCCCCCTGGGGTACATGAATTAACCCCCAAAAAATATTTGTACAAGCCTTTTGTTCTGGTCTGGGTATATAATGGAAAGTGGCAGAGCAGTCTTTGGGAACCTGTAACCAGGTGTTACGACCCCTCTAAGATTTGTCTAGGAGCAAGAGGAGTAACGCTAAAAAAAATATGCAAAAACTGTAAGAAGGATAGGAGGCGGCAAGAAACCCTGCAAAAACACGAACTGCCAATGAAAATGATTTATTATACAAAAAGGAAAAGAAACCATTTAACTATAAAGTAGATTCACAAAAGTATATATGATTAAAGCCACAACCAATATGTACAAATTTACAATAAAAAGAAAAAGAAGAATGAACAAGAAAAAGAACTAAACAAATCAACCCAAAAGAAAGGGGATAGTGACGCCAAAAGAAAGAAAGAAACAAAAGAAAACCATTCTACCATTTAAACCTCTAACTAAAGGAAAGAAAAGAAAATAATTAAATCTTCAGCGCCGAGCGCCCTATTCTCAACTAACAGAAACAAAACATACAATGGGTGGTGTTCACCTCTTACCTGGGGTTTCTATACACAGAGTTACCCGCACGAAATCTTCCCTATCCACCTTCCTCTTAGTAAAGAGTAAACATCAGAGAGCGCAAGCTCAGCAAAGGTCAAAGCACAACGCCATCCAAGTAGAAGAAGATAGTCGAACAAAATAGTAAATCAACAGTTATAACAAAACAACAGAGGCTGGCATAAGCAAATAACAAATCAAGCGAGTCACCAAAAAAAAAAAACGAGTAACGATGACAGCAAAAACCAGAAAACAAAAGAGACTCCATTCACTCTTTTCCAGCGTCCTTTTATCTGCCAGCGGGAACATTACTGGCAGCGGATAGGTCGATGTCACATCGCTTAATGATGACTGATAGCCTCGTGAGCCAATCAGCGGTCAAGGAGGACGGCCTATCATAAAACTATCGTCAGTGATAGTCAGAAATCAGAAGGTCTCCTTAATGAGGTGCTTCATGCTCCAGTCATTAGTGCCTTCGGGTTGATCTGTCCTGGACAGAGATTTGCGGAAACACCAGACTGCACATTAATCTACTAGGAATAATGATTTCAGAAAATGCTGAATAATTCAAATATAACAATTATAATGTATTTGACATAAGTTTGACATAAGTTTATTTAATTATAAACACACCCCAATAACATATAAAACTAATAGTAATCCATAAATGCTAATTCATAATCAAACCTACACCTCTATTTAATAGAAAACATGTGTATAATGGATATACTATAGTTAGTGTTTATACATAGTTTTTACTTGATATAATCACAAAACCTCTGGAAGTCTGGTTGTTTCGGAGCAACATATGAAATATTTAGATTTATACAAAAACTTAATTTTTCCCCCTTCACTCATGTATAAATCAGTAGGACGTTGCCTGGAATCATAATCTATACGTTTAAGCTATTTAAATCATTGTCTATTTCTCTGTCCCCCCTGGCCAATTCTATATAGTCTTTTAGTTCCTCTCTTGTTTTTTGTATTTCCCTCTGGACATTGCAAAGCTCATTATGTGTTCTCCTCATCTCTGCAATGGATTTGAGGACCCTGGATCTGACCTTTTCTGGATCGTCTACTTTCCCCTGTCTCATCTGGTGAATGTCTACAGAGTCCAGCACTATGAAGGCGACGTCAGCTATGACTAGTAGTCCACTCAACACTCCTGAGAAAGCTTCGGCTACGACCCGTCCTACTCTTGCAGTCTGAGTCGCAATTCTGCTAACGTTTGCCAACAGACCTAAATTCATGAGTTGTGTGGCACACAGAACATTTCTCCTGTCTAAATTGCATGTTATTTGTACATTTTCAAAAGTTGAGTTGCCGAAAAAGACACTGAACTGTGTGATTTTTCTCAGAACCTTTCTCAGCGTGTTCAGTGGTGTGAGAATTGGTTCGCTTACAGATTCATACTTCTTCTGGATTTGTTCAAGGCTCTCTCTGAATGCTTTTTGTTGTACAGTATTAGTAATGGTGGATGCAGCACCGGTTACTCCACCTGCAACTCCTACCCCAACACCAACGCCGGTAACAATCAGAGACGCCCCAAGAGTGAACGGTGCCAAGATTAACCCAACTAATGCAGTGATTCCTCCCGCTGCTCCGATCACTGACCCTGACAGACTCCCCGCTGTGGCGCTGTAATGCGCAGACTCCATCGAATCCGTTATTCTCCCCCACTCACTAACTAAACCCTCGATGTCTTCATAGTGCTGGTTGTAGGCCTCATTGAAGGCTTTGATGGACTCCATGAATCTCTGTAGCAGTGCCTCTGGCGTTCTGCTGTTCCTGGCTACTGCATCGGTCAGGAATGGTTTGGCTAGGATCTCTTCAGCTGAAGGTCTGTCTTTAGGGTCACGGCTGAGCATTTGTCTGATTAATTCCCGTAGTTCCTCTGAGTATCTCTCTGAGATGTGAGGGGGGTTTCCTGCCATGCTGACAGCGTGGAGCATGTTACGTTGAATGTCATCTGCCTGTGGAGGAAAATAAATAAATAAATAAAGAATCTAGATATAATTCGCCTTTGGCTAAGCCCCGCCCCCCTTAGTTACTGTTGCTACGTCCGACAAACAAACTTCATCTGGGCTCTGGTATGAACATGGCGTATGCTGTGACAGCTCTTCCTGCTGAAATTTTATCAAACTTTTATAAAGCAGCAAATAAAGTGTCCGATAGAAGTAGGCAAAAGCGGCTGCAATATACGTTCGAAGGCTATATTCACGACATACAGGTGAAACGCAAGGAACAACAAGGCATCCAAATAGAGGCAAAAGCATACCGGTCACAGTCAACAAATGAACCACCGCATATCCTACTAATGGAGACGGAGGCTGGGACTAACGATATCAAGGAGCAACACTGTTCATGCAAAGCTGGGTAGGTCTCTATTCACTTCTATAATCGTTATTACAAAGCAAACGGACTACGCGAGTATAACGGTGTATTATTAGACAGACTAAAAAAAAAAACATTTGCTGATAATTTACTCACCCCCATGTCATCCAAGATGTCCATGTCTTTCTTTCTTCAGTCAAAAAGAAATTAAGGTTTTTGATGAAAACACAAATGCTCGCCTTGCTCTGTTCTGTGATGAGCGATCGTGACGTCACGTAATACGCAATTACGTTGAAAAGGTCACGCTTGACGTATGTGGAAGTACCGAGTCAGAACAGAGCAAGGCGAGCATTTGTGCTTATAAAACTTAAACTTTTTTATTTACTTTTGAAATGACCGATCGTTTCGCTAGATAAGACCCTTATTCATCGTCTGGTGTCGTTTAAAGCCCTTTGAAGCTGCACTGAAACTGTCATTTGGACCTTGAACCGTTTGGACCCCATTGAAGTCCATTATATGGAGAACTGTTTTCATCAAAAACCTTAATTTCTTTTCGACTGAAGAAAGAAAGACATGGAAATCTTGGATGACATGGGGGTGAGTAAATTATCAGCAAAAGTTTTTTTAAAAGTGAACTACTCCTTTAAGGGTCTGTTTACACAACATCGTTTTCAACTAAAACCGTAAAACTTTTTATGCATTTTGGGCGCTCATTTACACAACAACGGCATTTTGGATGCCTGGAAACACAAGCTTATGAAAATGGCTTTCAAAGTGCAAGTTTTTGAAAATGGTCTCCATGTACACAACAAAAACGTGAATCTCTGAAGACGATGACGTCATGCACATGCGTATTACGTGTTCAGTCTATAGTGTTTCATGGCAGCAGAATACAGCGTTTTTAGCCATTTTCGCAGATCCGTGTGAATGGGGATTTTAAGCATATCTTTGTCGTGTAAATGAACCCTTATAGTTCTGAATGCACTGATTAGGTTGTTCAGGTGTGTTTGATTAGGGCTGAACTCTGCAGGACAGATGCTCTCTAGGACCGACGTTGCCTACCTCTGATCTAGAACAATCCTGCTCATGGACGGCCACTGTCCTGCAGAGTTCAGCCCCGTCCCCAATCAAACACACCTGAACCAGCTAACACTACATGATTTTAAAACGTCGGGCTGAACTGTGCGGTTCACACTACATGACTTGCTCTCTGTGAAATCAGGAGTGTTCAAGTTGTTGAGCTAGTTCACACCACACGACACACCGTGATTGATCCGCAACAGGGGGTAACGCACTACACGAGTTGACAACGACTCTGTCACCCACCGATTCTATCTTGTCTACAAACCACGTTTTGTCACGAAAAATCACGCGACAATCACGCGCGCCAATACCCAGCGAAGAAGACGAAGAAGAACACAACACGCGAACATGCCTTGCTCTGATTGGCTGTAGCTCATGACATCACGTGAGCTCGAGTCGTGCGACAGCTCTGGATATCTAGCATGCTAGATATTTTTCTGGGCTCGGCGGCGCGTCTGCGAGTGTCTTTGATGCGTTGTTGGCTCTTTCATACTAACAGATTGGCGAGCGTTCATCGCCCACTAATCTCCCGCGATTTGCACGCGATAACGATTTGCAAATCGGGCTTAATATCATGTAGTGTGAACTAGGCTTTACTGGACATGTAGTGTGAACTAGGCTTTACTGGACATGTAGTGTGAACTAGGCTTTACTGGAGGCTTTACCTAGAAACCTCCAGGCAGGTGTGTTAAGGTCTGAGCTAAATCCTGCCCCTCCAGGACCAAATGTGATCTTGACACTGGTGTGACACATAAGGGCAAATCAAAAACCATTGAAGCAAATGAATAAAGACAAAGTAAACTTAATTGGCAACAGTACAAAACACAACTTCAAACTCAGGGGTCATTTACACGACACCGTTTTCATCGAAAAATGTTTTTATGCACTTTAGCTGTGAAACCAGGCGTGTTCATTTTAGAGATGTGCCGAACAAGGCTTCTGAAGCAGTGAGGCTTTTACACTAAACTGCATTGGTGCTTCGAAGCTTTTGACACACTGCCCTACTTCGCCCAATGGTGGTCGATAAAAATGCTTTATTATTTGACCCTTTTGGCATTTCATCATCCTCATCGGACTGAAAACGTGACAGTGATGTGGTGCTGTTTGGAAAAAAAATAATAAATACTCACCCACACATCCAGCATGCAGAGATCATGGAGCAACCATCCCAACGACCATATGTCACTAAAAAAGCAGATGCATGACAATGAAAAAGTGTGTACAGTGTAAACATTTTATGTGCTATCTACTTATGCTAACAATCCTACACATTATATTTTTGAGTATTTTTTAAGGCTTGAGCCCTATTCGTATGCTAATTGTTTCTCATGTGTACATCTGTAAAAATAAAACTCAGTGATAAAACTCGGATGGTGATTTATTGACGGTGGAGGACCGAGTTGTGTAATCCCACAAACTCTCCAGCATTTCAGTAATACAAGTGTATATATTTAAAATAATGCACGCAAATAACAGTGAAACGCAGCAGTTATCGCACGTACGGGGTTAGGCAGTGATCATAAAGGATTTAAACAGTGAATTTTGAAGTGATCTCTTATTCGGCCGGCAATTAAATCCCCACACGACCTTGGTGTTCGTCAATAAACAGTAGGTAATTCAACTGGGGGTTTTTATGCGGCTGGTGGGAGGAAAACACTGAGATTCTGGATTCTGGCGGCAATACAATCACAGACTAATGTTGAAAATACCTTATGACCCCATGAGACACAATTACCGTCCGAAAAGGGCTTTGGTTTCTTTACTGTAATCTACCTGAATATATCACATCTGCAGGTAATGGATAAGTCCGTAGGAGAACGGACAAAAATGCCTGATGAAGGTCATGGGACCGAAACGTTGTGGCAAATAAAGACATTTTTATGCTTTTGCAAGCATTGATCAAGGATCAGGCATCAAGGAAATTGTCATTTTTAATACCATTGTATAATGCTGAACACATCAATATTTGATGTACTTTTAGTTATCCAAAAGCTTACCTCTTGGAATTATATTTCCTCTGATAAACTTCTGGGCTGATGTAGGGCTTTGCTCCCACAAGGGAATTAGCATATCCATTAGCTCTACAAAGGAAAAACAATGTTAACTCAATTCTTTAATAGTCCAGGACATTTCATTTTGATCCATCACTAGTTCCTATCACTGTTTTTGTTTTGTTTACCTTTCCAATGCTTTTGAGCTTCCAAAATCTCCTAGATTGGTGTAACCATCTTCAGTCAGGAAGACATTCTATAATGACAACAGAAATCTCATAAGTCTTCCAGATTTGACTTTGTGATATGATTTATTGAGCTTTATCAGTGCATACCTGAGGTTTAATATCTCTATGAAGAATGTTCTTCTCATGTAGATACTGCAGAGCCAGACAAATCTGAACCAGCCAGTCGAGGACCTACACACATGGAGGAATCACAATGTGTGAGTCACTGTGTGTGTGTGTGTGTGTGTCACTGTGCGTCACTGTGTGTGTCAGTCACTGTGTGTGTGTGTGTGTGTGTGCGTGTGTGTGATGGGTAGGTTTAGGGGTTGGATTAGTGTGTGTGTGTGTGTGTGATGGTTAGGTTTAGTGGTTGGATTAGTGTGTGTGTGTGTGTGTGTGTGTGTGTGTGTGTGTGTGTGTGATGGGTAGGTTTAGGGGTTGGGTTAGTGTGTGTGTGTGTGTGTGTGATGGGTAGGTTTAGGGGTTGGATTAGTGTGTGTGTGTGTGTGTGTGTGCGTGTTCGTGTGTGATGGGTAGGTTTAGGGGTTGGGTTAGTGTGTGTGTGTGTGTGTGTGTGTGCGTGTGTGTGTGTGTGTGTGTGATGGGTAGGTTTAGGGGTTGGGTTAGTGTGTGTGTGTGTGTGTGTGTGTGTGTGTGTGTGTGTGTGTGATGGGTAGGTTTAGGGGTTGGGTTAGTGCAGGGGTCTCAAACTCGCGGCCCGCGGGCGTGATATTTTGTGGCCCCCTACTTGACATTAAAGTGTAATGTTAGTGTGGCCCGTCGTTGCGTGTGCCGCGTTTTAAATGGGCTACGGTGGGTTTGTTGTCAATAGTTGCCATAGACAACCGCTAAGTACAAACATACTGCGCGCCTGGAAAAAATGAGCGCGTCGCTTCAATTATGAGCGCGCTTGCCGCGCACGCGCACCTACATTTGAAATAACGAACTTGAGCACGCAAAATATGTGAGCGCGATATGTGAACTGCCCCTTGTCGAGCTACCACCAACCAGGCCGCGAGCTACTGGTAGCTCGCGAGCGACGTGTTGGAGAGAGACCCTGCTTTAAAACAATGTGAGAATAATCATTTTGAGCTTGTAATATGTGTCTAACAGGTTGATAAGAAGGTTTGCTTTGATTTGTGCACTCAGTAATTTGCCTGAGACACTATACATGTGTAGAAAGAATTCAATAAGACGGGCAGACATGACTGCAAATATTTGTATTTCAAAAGCAATAATTGTTTTTCTAAGTATATAATAAAAGGAAATGTGCCTTCCAAAAAAAACATTCAATATCATTAATGTTGTATAAAGAAAATAAAAAGGACATTAGCAAATATAAATATTACAAATATGTGTTATAGACAAAGAAAGTTTGTAAAATGAACTTCAACTGTCAGAAGGACAGCTCATGAAGAACCAATCATGTACAGAAAGGAATGTTCAAATTCAGAGGAACAGTTCAGAAGAAACGTTAATAATAAAGATTGAGAAGATTGGATCAGTTGTGCTCCTTTTTTGGAATACTTGAATACTCTTTTTTGTGGAATACTTGATGCGGCCCAGCCTGACCCCGACTCTACCTCCAGCGGCCCCCAGTTAAGTTGAGTTTGAGACCCCTGGGTTAGTGTGTGTGTGTGTGTGTGTGTGTGTGTGTGTGTGTGTGTGTGTGTGTGTGTGTGTGTGTGTGTGTGTGTGTGTGTGTGTGTGTGTGTGTGTGTGTGTGTGTGATGGATAGGTTTAGGGGTTGGGTTAGTGTGTGTGTGTGATGGTTAGGTTTAGGAGTTGGGTTAGTGTGTGTGTGTGTGTGTGTGTGTGTGTGTGTGATGGGTAGGTTTAGGGGTTGGGTTAGTGTGTGTGTGTGTGTGTGTGATGGGTAGGTTTAGGGGTTGGGTTAGTGTGTGTGTGTGTGTGTGTGTGTGTGTGATGGGTAGGTTTAGGGGTTGGGTTAGTGTGTGTGTGTGTGTGTGTCTGTGTGTGGGTGATGGGTAGGTTTAGGGGTTGGGTTAGTGTGTGTGTGTGTGTGTGTGTGTGTGTGTGTGTGTGTGTGTGTGTGTGTGTGTGTGTGTGTGTGTGTGTGTGTGTGTGTGTGTGTGTGTGTGTGATGGGTAGATTTAGGGGTTGGGTTAGTGTGTGTGTGTGTGTGTGATGGGTAGGTTTAGGGGTTGGGTTAGTGTGTGTGTGTGTGTGTGTCTGTGTGTGTGTGATGGGTAGGTTTAGGGGTTGGGTTAGTGTGTGTGTGTGTGTGTGTGTGTGTGTGTGTGTGTGTGTGTGTGTGTGTGTGTGATGGGTAGGTTTAGGGGTTGGGTTAGTGTGTGTGTGTGTGTGTCTGTGTGTGTGTGTGTGTGTGTGTGTGTGTGTGTGTGTGTGTGTGTGTGTGTGTGTGTGTGTGTGTGTGTGTGTGTGTGTGTGTGTGTGTGTGTGTGTGTGTGTGTGTGATTGGTAGGTTTAGGGGTTGGGTTAGTGTGTGTGTGTGTGTGATGGGTATACAGAATATACAGTTTGTACAATATAAAAACCATTACGTCTATATGTCCTCATAAAACATGAAAACCCAACGCGTGTGTGTGTGTGTGTACTATGTGTGTATAATGTCCCCACAAGGATTGTATTTTGGGTCATAACATACTAAATCATGTTTTACGTGAGAGTTGGGTAACACTTTATTTTACGGTGTCCTTGTTACATGTACTTACCGTAGTAATAACAGTAAATTATGCATAATTACATGCAACTAACCCTTAACATAATTCTAATTCTAACCTAACCCTATAGTAAGTACATGTAGCTACTTAATATTATTCTATACTTAAATATATAATTACATTGTAACAAGGACACCTTAAAATAAAGTGTAACCGAGAGTGGTTTAAAGGATAGAGAAAAGAATAGAAACTCGCCTGTTTTTCTTCAAAACAACTTTCTTCTTTCTGTTTCCCCATGGCTTTGGAAAGGTCTCCTCCTTCACAATACTCCATCACAATATAAATGTGTCTCGCTTCTTCATCTAAATAAATGAACATCCATTCAGAGAACAATTTAACTCTGGCTGTATTAAAATAGCTTCATTTCCTGAAAGCTGCACATATGTTTTTGTTCAGTTAACTGCGTTATCCTTCTATCCTGGTAAATACTTATATTTAATTTTTCCGAAACACAACAAAAAACTAACACATTTTTAATTTGGAACAAAGGAACATTAGTGTACAAAGAAAAAAACCTTCAAATGACTCCACATAAGTAACAATATATCCAAACTGCAGAGTTTTCAGGATCTCGACTTCCTTTTTGACAGAGTCCAGTTCCTGACCCTGAAAGAAAGAAGAAGAAAAACCCTTCCATGTAAGCGACACTGTTGAAGGATAAAGCTGTGAGTTCTGGTCAATACTCAAGTAAGATCTCACATCTCTGGAGTTCATCTGTTTGACCACATAAGGATCTCCGTCTGCGTCTTTCACCAGAAACACTATTCCTGAAGCCCCTCGTCCAAGCTGGTCCTCTACGGTGTATCCATGATCTTTCAGCACTTCTATAATCAAGATTCACAATAACTTCTACAAAATACTGTAAGCACTCGAGATAAGAGAAACAAAGGTTTTACAAACTTTGAGTCAATTCCTTCCATAAAATTATTTTTTTAAGCGCTCAAAACACCACAAACTGACTCTCAAAACTGTGTGAATGCAATTAAAATGCAAAACACACCTTTTACAAAATGATTGCAAATATTTTCATTGATGTCGTTCCACATCCCCAAGACCTTCAGATCTTCTGAACACAAATGAAGATATTCTTAATGAAATCTGAGAGATTTCTGTCCCTCCATTGACAGTTTACGCAACTACCACTTTCAATATGCAGAACGATAGGATAGACGTCATTAAAGTAATCCATGCGACTCAGTGCTTTAACCTCTATTTTATAAAGCGACGCTAGTGCCTTGACATCATTTACAACTTTATTTACGAAAATATTTACGCGAGTGTTCACGAGAGATGACATTGTTGCGTGAACACACTTTGGATAGTATTACTTTGTAACTAAAGTGGTAAATATATCATTTTTTTTGTGCAAACAAAGAACATTACTTCATTAAACATACAAAAAGTCCGATGGATTACATGAATGATGTGTTTATATCGTTCTGGATCTTGAAAGTGGTAGTTGCGTAAACTGTCAATGGAGGGACAGAAACTCTCAGATTTCATTAAAAACATCTTCATTTGTGTCCGGAAGATGAAGGAGGTGTTACGGGTCTGCAACGACACGGGGAAGAGGAATTAATAACTTTCATTTTTAGGTGAACTAAACCTTTAATCTACATAAAATACTATTACTATTTTCCTGTATAATTATCTAGTTCGTTTATTTGTGGGGGTTTTTTGTGTTTATGGGGAGCCTAGTTTACTAATAAGAGACAATTAACTCCAAATCTGATTATTTGTGTATTCAATTAGCATCTGATCTAAACGATTGACTTCCACACGGTGTGTATTAGCAACTTTTAGTTTGTCCTGTGGCACTTTTTCAGTTTCTGGAATTGGTTTCTATGGCAGTGACATTGAGTTACACCGAACAACAACACACAGATTGTGTAGTACAACATAAATGTGTAGACACACACACACACACACACACACACACACACACACACACACACACACGTATAAGTTGTCATACATGTAAGTTATCAGAAATGTGTGGAAATATATTCCAATCTTCAACTTTTCAATCTTTCAATTTTTCAGTCCTCGTCTGACTCTGTGCATTGCCATAGATTGTGGTTTCTAAGAACGATTTGATGATTATTCTGCAAACGTAAAAGTGCTGTTTCTCATATTGTGTGTGATATTATGTTTCTCATGTTGTGTGTGATATTATACTCACTGGTCAAGCCAGGAGAAACGTTCCCGCTGTGATCTGAGGAACTGCTGACCGCACCGGCGTCTGAGAGTCTGCGATACTCATCCATCTATAGGGGAAACACCCATACACAAAAGAAATATATTTGAAATATATTTTCAGAATATATTTTAGGTATATGCGCAAATATTTGAAATTGGCCCAATAAATATATTTTAGTTCAATATGTGAATATATTTGTATGTCAATAATATATTTACTAACAACATGTGACCCTGGACCACAAAACCAGTCTTATGGGTCAATTTTATTAAATTGAGATTTATATATCATCTGAAAGCTTTCCATTGATGTATAGTTTGTTAGGATAGGACAATATTTGGCCAAGATACAACTATTTGAACATCTGGAATCTGAGGGTGCAAAAAAGTCGAAATATTGATAAAATCCCCTTTAAAGTTGTGCATTTATGTTCACGATTGTACTGAATTCACTCACAAAAATATATTTTTGATATATTTGAGAATAATTTTCAAATTGATAAGTGAACAACAATGCAAATATATTTCAATGTATTTGGAATATATGCCACATATATTTTTGACACTATAAAATATATTTCAATATATCTCTTTTGTGTATGGGCACACTGAATATTAATGAAGCATTTCAGATATTACTGACCGAGAGCGTTTAACTGTTCATCATATAAGAAGACTGAATCCTGTGAGATCTCCTTATGGATTATATTTCATTTCTGGTATGCTGTATTTTAGCATTTGTAAACAAGAACAACAAGAAAGATCAGTAATTGCAGTTTTGGTAAGCTTGTATGTTAAGCGCTTTATAAATGAGATTACTGCATATATCATCACCAATGACTTATGACACCATGGCATTTTTGTCCAAATTGAGATTCAAGACTACTGATTAATAAAACAGTAGCGTTAGTGTTCTCAAATGAGAGAAAAGGGAGATGTATTCATATTTTTTATTCATGTAATTTCTCTTTCACACCACCAGAGGACGCATAATGTATTTATGTTGACAAAGAAAAAAAAAAGATTGTGGGTGAAAGACTTAAACGGATTTATGTATACTTTTTATGTTACTTATATATATTTATATATATAGGGGTGAGCGGGCACACACTAACATATAGGCTAGTTGTAACACACTTGTTTTAAATACTTCCAAACATACACTAATCTGTCATATGGTCATGTTTCACCTATGGGGCATGTTGTCACATTTCACTTCCATTCTTTCGGGGTAAATCAAGAATAAAATATACACTGTATTAATAAAGTAAAATCACATACTTGTACTAGACATGTGTAAAATTAATATGGGGAAAAAAATTTATTCTCTGAATCCTAAGTAGATTTACACAAACCGAGAAAGTCAAAAAGTGTTAGGTTGTGCCCCGCTCTCCCCTAGTACTTAATATACAAAAGGGCATATTTATATTAGAATAATTACATATTCCATAACAATATGTATATAAAATAAAAGTACAATGAAATAAAATGTACATATAATTGAATGGACTTGAACAGATGTGTTCTTTGTGCATTCTGAGCAGTTTTGAAATGAGCTTCAACATTTTTCATAACAATTATATGGGGAACAAGTCTCTTTCATATCAGTCCTAAAATGTACACAACTTAGAATAAAAAAAATCACATAATGTAAATAAGTTGTCGCAGAATACAAATATATGAATATCATTGTCTTTTGAAATCTACACTCTAAAAAATGCTGGGTTGTTTCAACCCAAATTTGAGTCAAATATGGACAAACCCAAATGTTGGGTTAAAAATGTAATTAAAAAATGTACAGTTGAAAGTGAAAGTTGAAGTTGGGTTAAAATTTTAAATTACATTTTTAACCCAACATTTGGGTTTGTCCATATTTGACCCAAATTTGGGTTGAAACAACCCAACATTTTTTAGAGTGTATATTTGCTGTTTCAACAAATGCTGAGTATTTAAATCTATATTGGGCAGCAGCCAATCAAATCTCCCCGTGGAAACGAGTCAATAATAACTGGCAGACTGGGACTGAAACAGGTTCTGTTATGACCAAACAACTAATGCTTTATTTATTCATGTTTATTCATTTGTCTCCTTGCTAACCTTAATAAAGTCTGATCACAGAGAATATTTAGCAATAAACAGGCTATACGTAATTCACACTTAAGCCACATTTATTGTGCGAATTTGCAGAAAAACTGGCATAGTTTAAAATCTATTGTTTTACTTTATTAAGAAGGCAAATAATATAAAACAGTAAAAAACAAAACAAATAATAACCAGGTGTTTTAATGACTTTATCTAGACTTTTAGCTACAAACCAGCTAACATGAATTTTGCCTAACTTTTATAATAGCTACAATTAGTAGCCTATAATAATATGAAATTTCAAAATCCAAAACACAAAGGTAAATAAAATATAGGAGAGCTCTCCGAGAGCATCTATGTTTCAATCACTCGTCCTCTGTTCTAAATAAATAAATATATAAATAAATTAAGTACAGTGGTCACTTGTGCAAATGTTACAGTATTTAGAGTATTTAGTTAGTTTTCCAAACAAAGCCTTAAAGACTTTTTTTTTTCTCGTTTTGGACATTTATGAAACTACGATTATGCTTCATGATTGTAAACTGCACACACACACACACACACACACGTATCGTTACATTAATAGCATTACATACCCCTGTTGTTGCAGTCCTGATCGAAGCTCTTGAGTTTGTATTGTGAACTAATGAAGGATGAGACACATGAAGTTTGAGAAAAACAGATGTTTTGCTTTACAGCGCGGCGATAAAAACGATCCACTGTAGTGTAAAAGCACGTGTGTAACATATAAAGCACTTCTCTTTTTCTTTGTCTTATAACTACCTTCTCTCTTTCCAGAGTTGCCAAGTCCTCTTCTTATAAGCTACTCGACTGTGGACTTCTTTCTTGAAGAAGAGTCGCTTATAGATTTAGGCAGCAAAACCAGTCAACACTGAGTTATGGCCGTTTCTCAATATGCGTTCTTGTCTGTACTTGTGTTCTTGTGGACTTGTGAAACGTCATCAGTCGCTGCCCAAGTACTGTTCCAATTCAAAGTTCACATCTCGCCAAGTCCAGTTCAAATCCCCGGATGTGTTCTTGATCCGCCCCGTTTACCGAGGATGCACCGGAGAGGTGACTTGTGCGGACTTGAGACAGCCAGGTATCCCAGAATGCATCTCGCACCAACCAGCAAGCGTCAATAGCAGAGGAGAAAACCCGCGTAATATCAAAATACTACTGTTAATGTGTCATGAAATGTAATTTTAACAGTGTTTCAGGCGAGAATGTGGTTGTTTAAAACTCAAATCTGTGGTTTATTTATAAAGATAGCGCCTATTTGAAAAATGTCTCTGACGTTTTCGGAGTTGTGACATCCAGGCGTTCACCGCGGGTGTTCAACGCTCATCAACCCCGACTGGAACAGCTTTTCCTCGGCTAGTGCGTCTGACGTTTGCCGCTGGCTCTGATGTCTCTAGTCTAGTGGATAAACTTGATGTATAATTCGTCTTGTGTATAAGTCGATCTTTGGTCTCATTAAACTATTGTTTGTTCCTTGGCAAAAAAATCGTTTTAGCTGAGGGCAAAGGGAAGTTTCATAACTTTATATATTTAGGCTATTTAACTTTAACTTTGTAGCCTATTAGAGAGCTTACTTATGTTTGAATTGTTTGCCTTATTTATCATTGTAGATATTATTGATCATTAAAACTGACATTTAACAAAAAGAGACAGGGTTGTGTAATTTTATTTTATTTACTTTAAAATATATATATATTTATATGTATTTTAACATTCTCTTCACATGTACAATAAAATAAAATGACACAACGACCTGTCTCTGTTTGTTAAATGTCAATAAAAATAAATAATGTCTCATATTTTTAAAATGAAAACAAAAAGATCATGTTCATGTTGTTATAAATAAATGCAGTGAATATAATAAGCGTTGCCTGAACCACATGGCCATTAGGCTACTATGTTTAAGATTTTTAAATGAAAAGAGGCAGGGTGGTGTTTTATAACATTTTTCGTTTTTATTGTTGACGAAAAGAGGCAGAGTTGTAGCATTTCGTTTTATTCTTGCCTAAAATATACATAAAGATAACCGGAGTAGCCAGAGCGAGCTGAGTGACACGATCAAGAACGCGCTGTTCCATTTGCAGAATAACCGGACTCGCGTCCTCTCGTCCTCGGGAGTTCGTTCTCCTGAGTCGAACTTGGCAAGTCCGAACTGCCAAGGACGCAAGTCCGAAGTTTGCGTACTTGGTATTGAGAAACGGTGATAATGTTTCTTTTGTCTCACTCTTAAAGCTTCCACTGCCAGCATTATATCGCATTATACAGCATTATATCACATTATATTGCATTATATCGCATTATACAGCATTATATCACATTATATTGCATTATACAGAATTATAGAATTATAGGCTATCGCTTGTCCAGCCGTTCGCCAAAATCACGTGACTTCATGACTCGTCAGGTGCATCTGATGATTAATGGGCTTCAACTTCGTTGACATTCGTTGAATAAAAGCAGGTTCTGACAAGTATCTGACTGGCTTCAGATCAGGGTTTGTGCTAAACTGGTTTGGTAGAAACTAACACCACCAACTGCCCTTTCGTGTGTTGACGACGTATTTCCATATGAGGCTTGAATGAAGATTAAGCAGTTTTTTGATTAATGAAACAATGGTTTGTTTGTACACTCCGTTTTTATTTTATTAATATTAATAAAACTATATGTTTTTATTTTATTTTTATGTGTATTAATATGCCTATGTATTGCCAACCAAGTTCTTTGCTTCTTCTTCTTCTTCTTCTTTTGGGGTTTTATGGCGGTTGGCATCCAAAATGTTGCATTACCTCCACCTACTGAATTAAATAGTTTTCCCAGTGCAGAATATTTACAGTGACCACCCTAAAGTTCACTGCCCGTTCTATATGTCATTCTCAATGGTCTGAGACAGTGTTGCCAGATTGGGCGGGTACCCGCCCAATTGGGCGGTTTTGAATTTGATTGTGCGGGTAAAAAAGGGTTTGGGCGGGTGGTCAAAATTTGGGCTGGTTTGGGATCATTTCGGCGGTTTTCAAACATCTACATTTTAAAGTCTAATTGGTTAAAAAAACGAAACTAAAGTGCATGTAGTCCATAAAATCAGTCATCATGACATTATTGTACACACACGCTCATGCAGAGTCAGCTGGCGTTAGTGTTGACATCACCGACGAGCACGCACTTTTAGCCAATCAGCGATCCGCAGGCAGACGCGATTGAGCGCGAGAAGTTAGCTGTATATTAAAGTGATCGCTTAGGCAAAGTGACATAGCCTACTATACAAAAGAGTGTACAGTAGTGAGCAACTCTAAAAAACGCACATGTGGAAGGAGATCACTCTATGGTGAATATAACTCTGAGAGGAGAGCACAGTTGAATGACTTGAATTGAAATCAAAAATGGGACGATTCCTGTCCATGTCATATGTGCACACTAGCCTAACCAAACATCTGCAACTTTACACCATCCAGACTGCACTCTTCTTGTCCCTGACAGCTGCTGAAAAAGGTTTGAATCAACGATGAATCCGTTTTGACTGCTAAATTCTGCGTGTTCTGCAATGTAGCCTACTTCTGAGGGTTAAAGTCATCGGTTCATTTCTTGATTGCCGTTTTGACAGTGTCCACCTGGACATTTTAGTCATATTGGCTAATTCTCCTTAATTATTGCCCTGTTTTGATCTGTTTTGCTGGAAAATTTATTTATTTTTTATTTTATTTTATCATTGTTATTTTGTTTTAAGGAGATACAAATTGCGCTTATCAACCTTAAATGACATGGTAATGAAATTATATCACATTATTTTGGCAGTAAAATTTTGGGCGGTTTTTTCTTGTAGTGGGCGGGTTTTGGTGAGCTTTTGGGCTGGAAATCACCTCAGCGTCACCTCACCTCAATCACATCTTTCCTCAGCGTATTATCTAGTTCTTCTCCTGATATGTCCCCAATGTCCAAGAATCTTCTCGCCGCATCCAACACCATCTTGATCCTCTCTGATTTCCCTTTTATTTCCACAGCACAATTGACCACCATACCAATACATCCCAGAAATCGCTTCTTGTCCATACCAGTAACATTATTCTGATCATCTCCCTTCTTTCCCGGCTCCCGTTCTGTTTGCACTACTACACGTTCCATTCTCTTAGTAGCTTCTGCATATGATAGCCCTTCTTCTGCTCTGGTTTTACTCACTTTTACCTGTTTGATTTTTTCAGGACATTGCGTTGACCCCCGCAGGGTGATTTCCCGAACAGTGAATGCATTTTACTTGTTCCTCTTCACACTCCCCTCTTACACAAGTATTTTCCCCACATCTCCCACATCTCCTGACTCCTCTACACACTGCAGCCACATGTCCATACTCCTGACAGCAAAAGCACCTTAACGGAGCTCTTTCATAAGACCTCACCCTGTAGCATATATAGTCCAAATATATCCTCTCTGGCAAATCTCCCACAAAAGTCAGACACACAGAAGTACTTTCTTCCCTTTCTCCTTGACGGAATCTTGTCAGTCTTCTGGCCTCACAAACTCCTTCAATGTCCCGAAACTCCTCGTCTTCCACTGACAGCGGTACGCCACTTACTACTCCTTTCTTTTTGTATTCTGTCCCGAGTGGGAAACATTTCACAACTCTGCAATCTGTATACTCCTTAATCTTTAGAGCTTGTTCTCTCTGATGCCTTGACACGCAGTCAATAATAACCATACCACTCCTTGTTATTTTAATGGACCGAACATCTCCGAGTTTCTTTCCAACGAATCTTCCAACCTTGTGCGAATCCTTGAAGATCCCGTCACTTCTTGTTACACCACCGTTACTGCGGTGGTGATGGCGCAGTGGATAAGACGCATGCCTTTGGTGTGAGAGACCCGGGTTCAAATCCACTGTGAGACACCTATGTGTCCCTGAGCAAGACACTTAACCCCTAGTTGCTCCAGAGGCGTGCAACCTCTGACATATAGAGCAATTGTAAGTCGCTTTGGATAAAAGTGTCAGCTAAATGTAAATGCTATCATTCCTACTTGATATCTCTCATCAGTTCTTCTTGTCTGGCTTCCATCACTTGAAACACTGTTCTTTTTCCTTTTCCTGTTCTCAACTCCTCTTGTATCTTCTTCATTTCCCTCGCTCTCGTCTGACTCCATTTTCTAAGTTCTTTGCTTTTGCTGAATATTCCCCTTATTCACCGCGCCTCCATCTTGAAAACCAAAACGAGGCTAGTTCAGTTACAGAGCGCAGCGGGCGTCTGTCATCATGGCGGTACCTGTGTATCTATGCTTTGTTAGCTTGTTTTTTTAACAATGACTGGAGAAAATCCCGATTTGATCTTAATGTGCAAGGTCACTCACTGTCCATGACCGCGATTGTTATTTGCCAAAGTTAATTTTAACGGACGGAACCAGATTGGCTGACCCGTAAGTTACACGCTCACTCAATGCATGGACGATCTGACAGGATTAACGTTACCTCGGTTGAGTGGCCGGACTTCTACACCTACCCGAAAGAGCAACCGATCGTAAAGAGAAACTGAGGGCATCTTTAGATGCCTATAACTATGTGCTGAATGGTCACGTACAAGACTTGTGTGGTACGATCCGCAGTTGTGCCTAGCCAGCGCCAAGAAGACGACAATGTAAAGAGGGACATTACGGTGCAATTTTAATGATGTGAATATTTTCTATAAATAAAAATTCCAGATACAGCATATTCATGTTTCATTGATTCTTGCACCCAACAAGATGACATTTAATAATAATAATAATTTAAGCTCCTTATTATGTAGCCGAATCTGTGCTGGTTTGTATTGGCCGCCTCCAGTTTTCACTTTGTTTTGCCTCCAGCTAGCCTAGCGCCGTGACGTCGGCTCGAAATTGGTCTATTCGTTCCGGTGAAATCACAAAACAAACTGCACACAAACGTGTCCCTGCTTGATATACAACCACTGATACATTTTTATCGGTTTTGATGATGGAAAAAAAACTATACGAGTGCGGAGTAGAACCCAGAACCTCTGACACGCTTGGCAAAAGTTCTGCCACTCGACCATTAAAGTATTCATTGGTAAATCAGTCGGATCTATGGATTTGTTCACGTGAAAATTCTCAGCACTAACAATATATTAGATCTCATTAAACACGACAGATGAAACGCAAGTTGTACTATTTAAATAGATTGCTAGACATTGTAATGTTATTGTATGTCTACGTCTGATTTAGGATTTAACATTGTATTAGCAACACAAACACACACACATACCACCCAATATGCCACTGAGTATATCACAGGGAAACGCTGCGTGAAACTTTGGAAGTACATTTGGGAACACAACAATGCGGCGGCATTGTAGGTAACGTTATGACAGTAGCCTACAGCGGGCCAACGTTACTTCCGTTACTTCCGCATGTGTAAAATAGCAGCAGGTTTCAGCATAAAAAAGAATAAAGACTAAGGCTAAGAATAACAGTAATAGAAAGAATTGTTAAAGAAAATAGTTAACAACCAATCATGAATGTAACATTAAATTATTCTAATCAAATGTTTATTTTCCATGTTTCATTCTGATATTCCATGTTTAATGTTCACATAAAACATAACGGACCAGACCAGTCTAGGTTCAAGAAAAGACACTTTTTTATTTTTATTGATTTAAGACTGTAAAAGTACATAACAACAAAAATAATACAGCGATATGAAAATGTAAATAATGCAATTAAAACGTTAACGAAAAACAAAAGGCAAATAAAAACTATTTATTAAATTATTTAAATCCCTTTTTTTAAACAGTTTAATAATAATAAAAAAATTATCTTAAAAATGTTTTTAGGTGAAAATTACACATTTAAACGCTTGTCTAAAAGTCTCTTTAATACTGTATCATCATTTAAACTGTCCAACCAACCAGTAAACTGTGAAAAATAACATCCACAGCGCCTCCATTAACAGAGAAGGATGCTGCTAAACACCACAATAATTAATATGAATAAAAAAAGAGTAACTGCATGATCAAAAGATAGATTTAATGAGCGATTAGATAAACGAATATGCTACATACCAGACAGATAACCAATGTCTTCAGGATTAAAGACACAGGCACTCGTTTATCAGGGTTGAGCTGAACTCTGTGTTTGGACTCTATTGGGTTTCACCACCATCTACTGGTCTGACAGCAGAATACATAATGGGGATCATTTTCAAAAGGGTGTCGTCTGTACACTGAAAACTTCTCTGTTTTAGGAGCTGTTTACACAACACCGTTTTCAACTATAACCGCTAAACTTTTTATGCGTTTTGGGCGCTCATTTACACGACAACAGCGTTTTGGAAATTAGTCAAACACAGACATAAAGAATCCCTGAGCACACACACTACATGTGTTAAAATCTACACGACGTGTCATTTTTAACATCTCTTTTTACAGGTTGTGTTGTTTTCTACGGAGCCCCTAAAGGGACGTGGTGGTGGAAAAAATTTAGGATGGGAGAATTTTAATTTTTTTTATCTTCTGCGTCGCAAAACTTTTGCGTTCCCTCGAGAAACTTTGCGTTGCATAAGCACACATAGGGAATACAGAGCAGCGCCGCCGGTCTGTATACGCATATAGCACATACCCTACTGCTGCAGCTCAACCAGGAGAGCTGAGTCACGTGAGAGTAGTCTGAGCACGATCAGAACTGGGCAGAACGTACATCTCACTCAAACAGTTATAAAACCTGACAAAGGTAGACGGGGAGGCCCAGCCCGCCGCTACACATATGTTGAGAATAGAAATCCCGCTGGACCACGCCCACGATGAGGCCATGCCTCTTGTGGAATGAGCCCTGATGCCCAGGGGGCATTGCAGACCTTTTGGCGCGTAAGCAGCTGCTATAGCGTCCACTATCCATCTGGACAGGCTTTGCTTCGAGGCGGCGAGACCTTTGGTGCGCCCACCAAACAAAACGAACAGCTGCTCTGTGCTCCTGAGAGAGGCGGAGCGCGCAGTGTAAACCCTCAGCGCCCTGACTGGGCAGAGGAGATTAACGTTGCTCTCGCTGTCGGATGCTGGCAGAGCCGATAGCGAAATGACTTGCGCTCTGAAAGGAGTGCCCGTCACCTTAGGAACATCTAGGTTTGAGGATGACTATAAATTCAATGTTAGGCTGCATAGATTAGGTCAGCCGGAACTGGGAACACTTCCCTTAAATCTTGATGTACTCGCTACATCATAAGAAGAATGGCATCTACGCTAATATTAGTGTCTTTGTTTATCCCGAGGTTTTCCCGCAGCCTGCCGGATCCAGGCCGTGTCCAGATCTGACGAAGGAGATTCGCCTGGACCCGATGACAATGCAGTGCTGAAGTATCCACTATCCTCTCCCTATGAAGGATCCCTTTCCCACTCTACAGATAAAGTGTTGTGAATTCCGGCTCGCGTACCCCGAAGTGATAAAATAAAACAAAATTCTGTATCAAAATTTTTAGGCAAGAAAAGTAGTTTGTTTAGGCTGGGTTGTATGAATTACAAACCTGCGCACATATTTTAAAAAGCACATAACTATAGAATTCTGAATGAGCATGTGAACGCCGTCTGCGTTAATCACAGGTTCGCGTTTAAAGTCTGATCATTTCGACGGAGGTGAATCAATCAAAGTTAACTTTAGCTGGAAGTAACATTATTCAAGAACCGCTATAACGCCAAAACAATCTGTTACCTTAAATGATATGTTTATCTCTGTAAAGCTGCTTTGAAACAATCCATTGTTAAAAGCGCTATATAAATGAAGATGACTTGACTTGATTTGACATGACTTTAGAGTCATTTGGCCCGAACTCAAGACACGTCGTGCTGACAGACAGCCGCGCGTTGACTCTGCGAACGCTGCCACGCCCGCAACATAAACTTTAAGCGTGGATGGGGACCTCCCCTTATCCAACAGCTCTTGTAGGAAAGTGAGCAGCTGCGAAACCCCGCATGTCCGTGGGTCCAAATCTCTGTTGGTGCACCATTTGGAGAACACCGACCATTTAGATGCGTAAACCTTTCTGGTAGAGGGAGCTCTAGCCTGCGTGATCGTGTTCATCACTCCTTCTGGCAGGGCAACGAGTACCCGTTGATCAACCATGCGTGCAGAGACCAGCGCTCTGGATGGGGATG